ACGTGCTGTGCTGTGCTCTGCAGAACCGTCAGCTGTAAATACAGCTGATGCAGGAAGACTCATGTGCCTCATTCTGCCAACCAGAGAAAGTCTGCAGAGAGATCAGGTTACAGGAAGTTTCCTCTCACCAAACACACACACACTCGACTGAGAGGACAGACTCAAGAGATACAACACTCACTGTAAGTACTGGACAATTTATATGCTTCATTGCCTTTTTATGTGTGTGCTGTGACGCATTTACTTCATGTATGTACAAAGATCCCATCCTTACGCTGAACAGATCTACAGCAGGAAACATGAGTCAGCTCACTGCAAAGGGCTAAGCTAGAGCTACAGGGAACAGTCAACCCAGAAAGAAATTAACCACATGACAGCGTATACTGTATGACTCATAATTGAAGTTAATACCTCTGGTGAAAGATGTCAGCTGTAGCATAGCATTGATAGTGGGCTTTAATTTATGCATTCCTTCACATTGGCTTCCTGGTGATGAACATCCTGAAAGGGTAAACACTTCAGCTCTACTGCAGGCTCCAGGAAATGAAATCAATCTCAGGCGCATGAATGATGAAAAGGACTGCTGGTTAAAGATGCAAAGGTCATGACAGCAAACGGTTTGTTTGTAGAAAGTGTCACTGTTTACACAGTTTTATCTGCCCTATATTTCTCTCTGAATAGTCACAGGAAAAGAAGAAATCTCTCACAACAAGATTCAACAACATGCCCGGAAACCTCTTAAAAAATCCTAATGGAGATGGTAAGTCGACATTTACACTACGGTCAATAAGGCATTCAAAAACGACATATTAATATTGAATATAGAATATATTAGATTTCTGAAGGAACATACGACAATGGAGTAATGATGCTGAAACTTCAGCTTTGTCATTGCAAGAATAAAATAACATTTTAAAATATTTTAAAATAGAAAACAGCTGTTTTATATTGTAATCATATTCCACAATAATACCGTTTTACTGTATTTTTGATCAAATGCATGCATCCTTAAAAAAAAAAAAAAAGTGTACTTTTTTTCATCATGATTTTAGGTTTTAGATTTAGGGACAACAACTAGTCTAGCTTTCTAATTAATGATCTAGTTCTCTAATAAACATGGCACAGTATACTGTACCGCAAACATTATTGGCTCTGTGATGAATTGCTTATGCTGCTATTAGTCGCTTTGGATAAAAGTGTCTGCTAAATGCATAAATGTAAAAGTCAGTGCAGTCACTATTTAATCACCTTTTAGCAGTAGACAGGAAGTCATAACCGCGTGCATAACACAAATGAATACAAAAAATGCTGTTTAGATGAAGTAATAGTTTAAGATGAACTCATTTGCTATCACATGCCAGCTCTAAATAAAATGATCAGATCGGTAAAATGTACTTCAGCTACCTTAATATCTGAAAAATGTTCTTCACCAGAGGCTCTGGAACACTGGGAGCTGATAGAGAATGGAGGCGATCAATGGCAGACCGAAGACATGCCGGGGGCCTGCGGACACGCATTCAATGACGAATCAGTCACTAAATACTTCTGCACCTCTTTTGAGTAAGAGAGAATGAATAGTAGCTGAACAGATGAGGGTGGGGAAAATAATGCCGTTTTTCTGTCTTTAAAAGAAGTGGGTGAAAAAGTCTTTCTTTCACACTCTCCCTGCTTGTGTTTCGAAATGTCTTCATTCATCATTTGTATATCTGTGTGTTTCAATGTCTGTTTCTGTTCTGTTGCAGGCCGTGTATAAAAAGACAAATGATTGACTTGCTGGCAGAGGGTTACGACCCCGAACATTTAGATTTTGCACAGCCAGCCGTCACTGTGGAGGACTGGTAAGCCTTGATGATATGGAGATAATGGCATGAGTTTTGTTTCGTCACGTTGTTCGTTCAGTCATTTCTTTTAAATGTGTGTGTGTGTGTGTGTGTGTGTGTGTGTGTGTGTAGGTACTGTAGCCGAACAGACTGTGGGTGTACTTATAATCTCACTGTGTCTCTGCTTGATGAAAACAAAGAGGTCATCACTGAATTTAAGTCAGATGAAGTGACCCTCGACCCTGACTGCGATGACTGCTCTTGGAAAAAGGTATGCAGGAGTGCAGAATCCGAGTCTAGTTTTGCATAACACTCCCACTTAACCTTTAACCCTATACAGCCTATTTTGATCATATTTGATATGCAAATTTGTCAACTTTGCTGAAAAATCTGTTGTACACAATCTAATACATGCCTTCTGATTTACACTTTTTTTAGTAAGTAAAAGTCCTTTTAGTATACTATAATTGATTCACGTCTTTTTGCTGTGTAATTTTTTACAGATTTTTTTAAAGTAAACATAAAAATAACATTTATATTTCAAGATGAGCACTTAATGGATTGATGCAACTTAGGTTTACTTGATTATTCATACATAATTTATTAGAAAAATCATGTTAAAATGTGAGTTTCAAATATTATCATCAGGCTTTTGAGGAACGTTTATTTGTTCATCTCTCAATCAACATTGTATTGCATTGGATTATGTTTTGAAACAGATCTTTGATCATAAAACTAAGCATTTTAAAAATCATCAGAAGACATTATTGGCAGATATAGATAGTCAACTGATATTTATACACATTTTATGTAAGTAATCTGATATACTGTTATAAACATCTCATTGATTTACATTACAAGCTTTGAGAATTTCATCTTACTTTCGGGCCATATAAATATCAGCATCTGCACCACATTGCATATTTTTTGCTCAGTTTGGACCAATGCATAAAATTAAGGTGTTTTATCTTCTTCTTGAGTGTGAGCTTTTTTTTTGTTGTTGTTAGAATGTTTCTATAGATTCAATTAACTGTTCCATTACAAAAATATACATTTCTATTATTTTGAATGTCAGGCTTTACAAGGTTGATTAAATGAATAGGTAAAAAAAAAAAAAGAACTAATGAGCTGCAAAATGCTAGTCATATCAATGACCTAAAGCTGTTTAGTCTACATGTTTATATAGTATATTTTGCACCTTTCTCTTTTTTTAGGTTCTACATCATTCAAGTATTTCTTTATTATCAAGCCTGTTGTTTTAAAAGTGACATATCATGAAAATCGGACTTTTCCAGGTTTTAAGTGCTATAATCAGGTCCCCGGTGCATCTACCAACCAAGGAAACGTGAAAAAGATTAACCCAGTAACTTTGTTTTGCTTAGCCTTTTTCTGCAAGCGTCTGAGAAAACGAGTGTGTCTGATTTCGCTCCCCTAGTGACGTGGCAAAGGGATCTCATTATAATATTACCGCCCCTTAATCTGTAAGTTTACACCCAGGGTGCCCTTATTGTGTTTTAGCAAGCGACAACGGTGTACTAGTTCTAATGCCATAACGCAAGTTTGAGCAAAACATGCCAACTCTTCTGTCTTTGGCTGCACAGACGAGCACAGAACACTGTTTAGAGTCCCAGCCTCAGAGCAGACAACAGAGCAGAGGATTTATTGATTTATTTACTGTATATTGCTGCTGCCACACAGATCTAAAATAAACATGAAATTATTTCCCAGCTGTTTACCTTCACAGACATAACCGACTGTTT